AATCTGTGTGCTTTTTTGATGCTTTTCTATCTATCATTGAACCTAAAAATGTTGTTGAGGCTTTGCAGGATGCAGATTGGGTGAATGCAATGCAGGATGAGCTTAACCAGTTTGAAAGGAGTCAAGTTTGGCACCTAGTACTAAGACCCAAGGACAGATCAGTCATTGGTACAAAATAGGTCTTCAGGAACAAACTTGATGAAGATGGAACAGTTACAAGGAACAAGGCAAGATTGGTGGTCCAAGGTTACAGCCAGGAGGAGGGCATAGACTATGATGAGAACTTTGCTCCAGTTGCAAAACTAGAGGCAATCAGACTCCTCATATCCTTTGCAGCACACATGGAATTCACTCTTCATCAGATGGATGTTAAAAGTGTCTTCCTTAATGGCTACCTAAAGGAAGAAGAGTTTGTGAAACAACCTCCAGGATTTGAAAGCAAGAAATGTCCTGGGCATGTGTACAAGTTAGACAAAGCTCTATATGGGCTCAAGCAGGCCCCAAGAGCTTGGTATGAACGGCTATCAAAATTCCTACTGGAGCATGGTTACAAAAGAGGTAAAATTGATAGTACCTTATTCTTAAGGGAAAAAGGTAAGGATCTCCTTGTTGTGCAAATCTATGTTGATGACATAATCTTTGGGGCCACCACTGATAAGTTAAGTAAGGACTTTGCAAAATTAATGGGGAGTGAGTTTGAAATGAGCATGATGGGTGAGCTTAACTTCTTCCTAGGGCTGCAGATCAAACAAAGTCAAAATGAAACCATGATTCATCAGCAGAAGTATACAAAAGAACTAATCAAAAAGTTTAAAATGGAGGATTCTAAAGAAACAGATACACCTATTGCAACTGCCACTAAATTAGATGTTGATGAACCTGGCTCATCAGTTGATCAGAAGTTGTATAGGGGTATGATTGGTTCACTCTTGTATCTTACTGCCAGCAGACTTGACATTGTTTTCAGTGTAGGACTTTGTGCTCGTTTTCAGGCAAATCCAAAAGAGTCTCACTTGACTGCTGTCAAGAGGATATTGAGATATCTCAAAGGCACTAGTGATTTGTGTCTTTGGTACCCTAAAGGTAGTAATTTCAATCTAGTAGGATATGCTGATGCTGATTATGCAGGTTTCCTAGTGGATAGAAAAAGCACCCTGGTATGGCACACTTCCTTGGTTCATGTCTTGTATCATGGGCTACCAAAAAGCAAAATTCAGTGGCCTTATCCATTGCTGAAGCTGAATATGTGGCTGCAGCTTCTTGTTGTGCTCAATTACTATGGATCAAACAACAGTTGGTAGATTTTGGAGTTGAAGTGGGATGTATACCAATATTTTGTGATAACACTAGTGCTATAAGTATGACAAGGAACCTTGTTCATCATAAAAGGGCCAAGCACATTGATGTTAGACACCACTTCTTAAGAGATAACTATGAGAAAGGATTAATCTCAATAGAATTCTGTGCTACTAATAAATAAATAGCTGACATCTTCACTAAAGCACTGAATAGGGAAAACTTTGAGAGGAACAGGTTAGAATTAGGGATGATTAAGATCACCTAAAAGAATCAGTTCAGAATGCAATAAAAAAAAATTTGGTTAGAAGTTCTGACTTTATGTAAATATCTAGACTAATTCTTAATTCACTGATCCCTTACAAAGTTTTTTTCTATTCTAACATTTGAGGCATAATCAAGAGAAGTTCTACTTGAAGAACCCGGTTCATCAATATAAGCTCATGAGAAAGTTCAGGTATGTTTCTACACTTTGCACAATTAGAAAGATTAATTTTCGAATCATGAGCAGAAGTCCTATTGTCACCAAACTCCCAAAAATTATATCCGTTGAGCATTGAACCAGTTTCATTCTCCTAGAATTTTAAGGAAAACGGGATTCTTTCCTAAAAATTAGCGTCACCTATTAATCACTAAGAGATCGGAGTTCTAAAGTGATTAGACTCCTGATTGACTACTGAAAAAAAACTGTCGTTACTGCACTTCATCATAATCATTTTTAAATACACTCCACATACTCCCTTTTAGTCCATAACCGTCATTAATCTCTCCCAAGTTCTGATCATCCTCTTCCTCTCCAAAATTCCCAAAATTCTCCAGAAATCCTTCACCATGACAAACCCTCAAGATAACCCTGAAACTCCCCCACCAGTGTCTCCCTCAAACACATCCTCATCTACAGCCCCTAGTGAAAACCCCAAACCTAGGTTTCGTCGGCAGAAAATATTGGCAAGAAAAACTGTAGCTACTGGTTCTCTGAAAACAGCCCTAAATGAAAAGTTGAGAGCTAGCGAGAAGAAAGAGATTCCTGGTAAAGAATCTGACTCATGTTTTGAGTCTGAAACATTTATATATGCAAGCGAAGGAGAAGAACGTGGGTCTTCTGACACTGACAAAAATCAAGAAACCCCGGTGAGGTAAATACCTGCTTTGTGTTTTCTGATGTGGTAGAAACGGTGGAAAATAGGTTTGTGTTGGTTGGTTCTGTGAAAGATGTGAAGGAGGCTGAGTCTAGTAGAAGGGGAAAGAAAAAGAAAGACAAAATACTTGCAATCTGTGGAGGGGTAGAGGAAAGTGGCACCAAGTCAGGGGGAAGTGGCTCCGGTGAGGCTGCTGAAGGTCTTGTTCATTTGAGTGAACAACAAGATGAACCTAGTTCATTTGTTGAAGAAACCCTAGCTGACATCTTGAAGAAGGTTGGGGCCAGCTATGATCCAAAGAAGCACAAGGCTTCTTCCCTAAAAGCTCCAACTGCTTCCAAGCCTGCAAAGAAAAGCAAAGTGTCATCTCCTAAGTCTACTATCCCTTCAAAGGGAAGAGCAACTAGAAGCAAGGTCAAACAAAGTGAGGAAGAGTTGCAGAAAGCACTGGAAGAAAGCAGGAAGAAAAAGAGGGAAAAAGGAAAGGCAAAAGTTATGGAGAGTGTTGAGGTTGTAGAAGAAGAAGAAGAAGAGATGGACCTGGTCCATCAAGAAAGAGGAACAACTGAAAAGGTTCCAACACCCAAACCAAAGAGTTCCAAGACTTCGACCAAGAAGTCATCCTCTGTACCTGTATCTGTTGAGCCCTCATTGGTTAAAAGAACTAGATCTGATGTGAAGGGAAAACAAAAGAAAATTATTAAAGAAGAAGAATGGAGTGGAGAAGAAGAAGAGGAGGAGTCTGAGAAAGAGCAGGATAGATTTGCCATCTTTGGCAGGAGAAAGATCTTGAAAGGCAGGTTGTTGAAAGACCTGGAGGAGCCAGGTATGATAAGATTGGTGGATGCCCTAGCTGCACAAGGATGGAAGGACATGGTCCTTCATTTGGATGGGAAACTGGCCGGGAAGGAGCTGATTGAGTTCATGGCCAATGCCATTGTCAAGAATGGGGTTGTCACCAGCATGGTGAAAGGAGTAAAGGTGCAGTTTGATGTGCCTAAATTGGGTGAGATTCTAGACATTCCCAGTGTGGGATATGATGATTACACTAGGCAAAGGTGGCCTTGTCTGGATTCTCTTCCTACTGCACTCCAAATCACCAGAAACTTTTGTGATTCAGCAATTGCTGAAGATGTGCCTGAAGCCAGGTTTGTTCAGAAGAGTGAGATGAGGGCTGAGCACAAGGTGCTATTTGAGTTTGTGAACAAATGCTTGCTGCCAAGGCAGGAGAGAAGGGCACACTGGCCAATTACATGGACTTGGTCCTCATGGGAGTGTCTTGTGAGAGGAATCAAGNNAGAGAAGGCACACTGCCAATTACATGGACTTGGTCCTCAGTGGAGTGCCTTGTGAGAGGAATACAGATAAACTGGCCTGATTTTATTGTCAAACTACTGGATAGAGTCATCAATAGCTCCAAAGCTCATGCCACACCATATGGGTTCCTATTGACTACTGTTTTGGAAAGGCTAAATGTGCCTTTGAAGAAGTGGGAAATGGCATCAAGCAAGGAGCACTTTGGTGTCAAGACTCTTATGGCTTGTGACTATCCAGTGAATGCTACCCCAGTTGAACCTGGTTCATCTCTGCAGACTCCTGTGAACAGCAAGGTTAGGGCATTGGTTCAAGAATGTGGAACAAAAGATGCAGAAATTGCTAGGCTCCAGGCTCGTATTGCTGAACTGGAAAAATGAGAGAAATGGCCTCAAAGATGAGCTAGCAAAGGAAAAGGAAAAGAGTGAAGGGATGCTTCAGACCATGCTCAACCTTCTCCAATCCCAACCCTCTAGTTCCTCCAAGCCTTAGGTTTTCCAGTTCCTATCTTTGAACCAGTCTAACCCCCCCAGTGACCCAGATTCGGGACTTTTCTTGTTTTTGTTGCTCATGGTTGGATGTTTTTCTTTCTTTTTGTGGTCTGCTTTGTAGAACATTTCCGTAATCAATGACAATGCACTTTTTCTCTTGGTCTATGTAGCTTCTGATCTTAAATGTTAAAATTTTTGTCAAGTTGATTATTGATTAACTGAATCATGTTTTCACTTGCA